GTAGTTATTATTACTACCTACTATATATATATATATATATATATATATATATATATATATATATAAAAGCTATCGGTATGTTAATGATATATTAGTCCCACTTATCGAGGATCGATTATTTAAAATTTATCTCGATGACTTTATAATAAATAATTATCCAATGAAAGTATACGAGATTCATTTACCAAATATTAAGAATTTAAAAGATCATCTTAAAAATTTTATACCTAAATAATTAGTATGTTTATGATATATCTATCTATTCGGATAAGGGTTTGAAATCTAAAATATTATAAAATCTCATTCGATCATTTTATATCTAAAATATTATTTTTAGTAAATTAATTTAAAATAAAATTAGAATTTACAAAAGGAGAAATGGAACACGAGTCATTAAGTGTGTGACTAATCCATGTCAGAGATAATCCATTAGATCTAGCATAAAACGCTAAACAATGAGCTTGTTTGATTGAGCTTTTAGGAATGTGAGAATAACTAATGATATTTATATTAACTATAAAACATCTAATAAAATATTTTAGATAAAATGTGATAACATCATTTTGTCCTACGTTAGTTAAGAAGCATGAGAACCAATAGATTCATAAGTTTATCAGGTCTCTCTTATCCTGAAAGACATCTTTTATAATTTATATGATCTGAAAAGATAAAATCATACGGTACACCTATCGTTCAAAATGAATAATTTATCACGAGTGTATGGGCCGCACCAATGATCGACCAACCAAATAATCCCTTATCTAAGCGATAAATAAAAAATTTAGGTAAAAGTTTTAAAAAATCAAAACATCTTATTATGATTTTGAAACAGTTAGTTTCGATTTTTCAAAACTAAGAACCAAAATAGAATTATCAATATTTCGATTATGAAATTGGAATCGTCGATTCAAACCATCGAATTATTATTATTTTTAATAAAATATTTTTTTTAAAAAAAATATAAAAAATATATTTAAAAAAAAATTAAAAAATATCTGTATAACTATAATAAGCGTAATGGTATTTTTAATAAAATTATAAAAAAAAATTAATCAAACAAAATACCAGAGAAATTTAAAATTTGAAGTCAGGGCTTCCACCAAAACACTTTCAGTCTCATACCCTTTTCGCCCTCTTCTCTGTACCCGTGACGGATAAGGGGATAAGACAAAGACACGGAAAAGAGGCACTACGCCCAGCGAACGAAGAGGAAAGATGGAGGTGTCGCTGATGAGCAGCGCGCGCTGCTCTACCTTCTCGCCCGCTCCCACTAGGAGACCCACAGCCTCCCTCCTCGCCCGCCCCACCTTCCTCTCCTTGCGCTCCTCCTCGTTGTGTCCTCTCCTCGCTCTCACCTCCTCTGTGGACGTCCTCCCCCAGCGGCGCGGCCGTAGGGTAACGGTGATGAGCATGGAGGCGGGCATCGGCGTGATGGGTACTAAGCTGGGGATGATGACATACTTCGAGCCCGACGGAACCGTCGTCCCCGTCACCGTCGTTGGATTCCGCGAGGGCAACATCGTCAGCCAGGTCAAGACCGCGGCCACTGACGGCTACGACGCCGTGCAGGTCGGTTACCGCCGCGTCCGCGACCGCAAGCTCACCAAACCCGAGCTCGGCCACCTGGAGAAGGCCGGCGCCATCCCCATGCGCCACCTCCAGGAGTTCCGCCTCCAGTCCGTCGACGGCTTCGAGCCTGGGCAGAGGCTCATCGTCGAGGATATCTTCAAGGAGGGCGACCTCGTCGACGTCTCCGGCAACTCTATCGGGAAGGGATTCCAAGGTATCCTTCTGCTCCTTTCTCGAAACCCTGTTTGTTCAAGGGTTAGGAAATCGGACCCCAACATTATAAGCAACTAATCAAGAATGCATAATCTGCCTTTCCCAATTCACCGATGAACACCAACAAATCAACATTTGGAGATCGTTTTGAAGGTAAATCTCACGAACTACCAGCCTAAACAAGGTGACATTGGACATCTGCATCATGATTTGCTAGACACGGCGGTTGATTGGTGTAGGTTAACAATTGTGCGCACTATGAATGCTGTGGGCTCTTGGTGTTGTGGAGAAGCAAACAAGGAGCATTTATAATCTTACTTGGATCAATCGTTCGGTTTATCACTAAGATGACTGTATTAGACTTCTACTGGATGCTTCACTTTGGCTCCATCAACTGAAACATTAGTTTTTATGCACAACATGAATGTTATGGCCACAAACTTGGTAGTGTGTCATTGTAATGACCTAAATCTTATCTGATTTTAATGCGACAGCATGTAATTTAGAGTGCCCTAGTTCAAATTTAAATGCTACTTTTAAACAGCAGAACGGAATCAAGGAATATGTTCATTCTACTGACCTTTCTCTTGACACCGTCTTCTTAAAATGAAGAATGAGGATGTCCATGTCAATAGTAGTTTAGCATGCTTAAATTTGGAGATGATTTACTAAACCTGCTGTGAGGTATTTCCTCATCTTTGGTCTTAATTACTTGTATTTTTCTGTTTAATGGTCTACAGATCCAAGCTGCTTGCAGCGGTTTGTTAGTATCAACTTATCTGATTCCCTTTTTTCTGTAAATTTTAAGATAGTCATATCATGGCATCTTGTATCCAAATGTATACATTTAATTTGTAAGAGTTTAAACTGTGTTGACCCTGGATTCTATATCTTTTATGCTTTAAATATTTCCTAGCAGAAATTAGATTTTCCTATTTCTCTTGTGTTATTTAATAAACCTTACAAATAGCCATGTTTTAGCTTTATTTATTGAACACAGTACAAGAAATTAGCATATTCGTTATGGTGAGAATATATACATGGCAATAGGCGTATGAACTGTTAGATTGAAATCTAGTGGTGGATCATGGAAGCTTGATCAAGGTGGGTTCGAGAAGTTTGGTAGGCCAAGGCCCTTAAAAGTTCAAATTATCAATTATCTATTTTTTTCATGAAATAGCTGGAATTTGGCTTGATAGTGGGGATTGACCTGAAACTAATTGACCTCAATTTAGTTATGTCTAAATTTAGAAGGATCTAAGCTTCCTCATGGGTAGTGAGTTGATGTAACTCGGATAACTAACGTATAAACTTATACTAGAGCAGCTTCAAGGTTGATTGTTGGGTGCATTTGCACCCTTTGAGAAGGCTAAGGAGCAAAGTACAATTAAGTAGAGGGATGAGAACTGTAATCCCGTAAATTTTACAATTGCATTGTGCTCTTTGCTGTGGAACTCTTGGAGTGCAGAAAGCATCTGAAATCTTAGGGAAGGATCCTTAAAACTAATGTATGAACCTTTAGCATAAGGGTCAAGGGAGGAGGTTAAAGTATAATATTTTAGCAAGTCATAATATCCAAAGTGTTCATTGGGCTCAATTTATGCTGTTGGTTTTGTTGTTCTCTTCAGCTTTTAAGAGATGCCATGTTACATGAGTTCTCACCATCTCTTTTTGACAAGAATGATGGTGAATCCCTTCCTGCATTGTTTCTTAAAAAGGATCAACGTTGTATGGATTCAACAGTGACACCATGAGAAAAACTTAATGCACCATTGAAAATTATAAATACTGAGCGGACTAGTATGTATATTTGTCTGTCCGACCAAGAATTGGTGTCAAATTCAGTGATATCCAAGAGTATGGTATGCCGTTCAGTATTTTAATGCCATACTGATCTAGTAGGTTACTGAAGCTTTTTAAAATCTTGATCAATATTACCTGCTTTGCTTTTTTTTTTTTGGGTGGTTTTGGTTGCATGACAGAAGTAAGTGATTTTATAGATAAACCAAAAAGGATGGGGTCATAAGTATGAAAAAGAGAAGGAAAAAGCCTAGAAAGTGATATGCCGTTGGGTATTAAACATTATTTCTGAAGCTATCAACACTTTCTGCTAGATGGCTGTTGTACAAAAGACTTTGGAATAGAACTGTCGTGAATTGGAGTAGTTTAATCAAGAGTTCATTCTGTTGGTCTTGCGTGCCTCTATACTTCGGACGTTGGAACCATTTACCTGAACCAAAATGATGGGACCATTGGAGGTGTGTCATTAGCTTTTGTTGGAATACTGTGTTGCACAGGTTTGGCCATAAATGACTTGTCCTACAAACCCTTCTACAAAGTGGGACAAGCATGTAAAGTTAGACCCATTACATTTATCATATGAGTTTTCTTCAAATTTCACCTGAACCTGCCATTTGTGATCTAAGATTGTTTGGTTTTGCACTTGAGTTGCAGTCTCTGCTGGCTGTAATGTTCCATGTTAGCATCATATCAGCATGGAGGATAGTGCGATTAAGAACGGTTGTAAAGAGTAAATTGGTGTCGTCTGGCACAATGTGGACCAAATATTTCTATGGTTGATATTTGCTCTGATGTTACACAATGATGTACTCTAATTCTATCATCTACTCTTAGATGTTCTTTCATACTACATGTTTCTCTGTCTTGCATAAATTACTACTCTGAGGACAAACAGATTTTATCTGATTCAATTAGCACATGGATTTATCCTATAGTCCTATCATGCTTCATGAACTTTTAATTGTTCTTCATCATTATGACTTGTATATGCACATTTCAATCTATAAACTGGATAATCTTGTGTGAACTATTTAAATAACTGAAAAATATTATTTTGGTTGAAGTTCTTTCCTAAATGTACCTCAAGAATGCCGCTCCACATCAAGCGGAAGAGGATTGAGGATGGTAGACAGGAAACAACCATATAGATGAAATGTTCTAATGTTCATAGTTAACACACTCAAATATTTCATGCATAATCCAATTTTTACCTGTTTGATTGTAAGGATATGCCACTGGAATATCAAGTCTCAGTCTTCCTTTTCCTTTGCAGGTGGAATCAAAAGACATAATTTCCGTCGCGGACTGATGACTCACGGTTCCAAGAGTCACAGAGCCTTGGGTTCGATTGGTGCTGGCACCACTCCTGGGCGTGTCTACAAGGGGAAGAAGATGCCCGGAAGGATGGGAGGAACCAAAACTAAGATCCGAAAGCTGAGGGTTGTCAAAGTAGACAGTGAACTGCGTGTGGTCATGATAAAAGGGGCTGTTCCTGGAAAGCCCGGCAATCTTCTGCGAATAACGCCTGCCAAGATCGTCGGGAAGAACATTCCCAAGAATTAGAGCTCCCATCTTTTAAGGTGATTGATGGTGGTGTCTTTATGTCTCATCTTTTCTGCGGTACGTATCGTTACTTCTTCTTTCATTAGTCTTCAATTCTACTTGCTTCTACTATGCCGTTTCTTTGTGATCATTTGGAATGTTTTTGACTAAACGAAAGAATTCTATTGATTTTGCATTGCATTTACAATTAGAGGCTTTTGTTCTCGTTTGCGGCTTCGTATTACGAGTCTCCTGTTATCGCGTCCGGTACGTGCAGTCGTAGCTACCCAGCACGCGCACGAACCCGGCGAACTCGTGCAGGAGTCGGATCCCGGCCTTGACTCGGGGATCCGACTCGGGCCCCTCCAGGTCCAGGAAGAACATGTAGTCCATGTACGTGGCCTTCTCCACGACGCGGATCGGGTTGGCTCGGTTGGGCCGGTGGTCCACCCGGCTCACCCGCACCCCGCGGCTCTCGAACGCCCACAGCGCCCGGAAGAGGTCTGTCGGCCCCCTCTCCAGGGAGAAGGCCACCGTCGTCTTCTTCCCGTTCCCCTTGCTGCTGCCCAGCGCCAGCTGAAGGTAGCGGTTGACGTTGGCGCCGGGCGGCTGGTCCTGGAAGTTGCGCTCGAGGACCTGCAGCCCGAACTCCCGTGCGGCCATCTTGCTCCCGATAACCGCGGTGTCGCGGATCCCGTTCTCCGCCACCCACTCGGCGGCGGAGGCCGCGTTGGACGCCTCCTCGATCTCCAGGCCGAGGCAGCCGAGGCGCTCGCGGCAGTGGGCGAGGGCCTGAGGGTGGCTGACCACGCGGCGGAGGGCGGACCGGCGGGCGCCGGGTAGGGCGAGGAGGCAGTGGTCGACGGGGAGGATGAGTTCGCCTACGATGCGGACGCCGGGGTGGCGGATAAGAAGGTCGAGATTGCGGTGGATGGGCCCGTCGAGGGAGTTCTCCATGGGGGCGACGGCGCGGTCGGCGGAGCCGTCCTCGAGCGCGGCGAACGCGTTCTCCATGTCAGAGCAGGGGAGGAAGGAAAGACGCCCGGAGTCCTCCGCCGCCGTGGAGGAGTTGAAGGCCGCGGCGGCAGCCTCCTGGCAGTAGGAGCCGCGGACGCCTTGGTAGGCGACGCGGAGGGGGCGGCCGGGCGAGCCAGGGTCCGAGAAGGCAGGAGGGCCGTCCCCACGGTTGTACTCGCGGTAGATGCGCTCGAGGTCGGCCACGGCCATCTCGAGGCCGAAGCGGGCCGCGAGCTCCTCGGCGACCTGCAGCGGAGAAGCAACAGCGGGGGCGCCACCCCCCACCCTTCTCCGCTGCTTGTCTAAGCTACTGCTACATACAATTAGGTTGGTACCGGAAAACCTCCTCCTGCTGTTGCTACTGCTACTGCAACTACTTGCGCCGCTCTTCTTGGACGGAAGAGAGGCGTAGGTATGAAGGTTTGCCGGCAATCTAAGAGCCATTGTTATCCCTCCACCCAATGGCGTACGAGACTCCTCTTCCTGAGTCCCTGCTTCTGCAACTGCTCTCTCTCTCTCTATATATGGAAGGGGATGAAGAGAGAGAGAGAGAAAGAGGTGGTAGGTGGAGAGGAGGGCGATTAACGCGCGTGGCGTGGAACACTGGCGATTTGTGTTCACTTCTTGACTGCGGCAACAGCAACGTGGCTTCCTACTGCGCTTTTAGTGGGTCTTCGCTTTGGCCTTCTCTCTGCCGCACAAGGCGGACCCCCACACGCTGCCACTCCATTAATGGATGTTGCTGTGGGGTTGGGGTCCCGCTCTACCCTGCCTTTCTTTCTCTTTTCGCAGCTGTTGCCGATTAGAAGTCTCCCCGCTCCACCGGTCATTGGATATTAATATATGATGGTGAGGCATCGACCGCATGACGATGAGGTGTCAACAATCCTCAACTTATCCCCCAAATCACCTTCCATAATTGTTGTGGGAAACAACTTTGAGCCGTGGCCTCGGGGCCGACGCGGCTCGGTTCGGGTCCGGACGACGGGGATCTCCCTGGGGCGTTCCTCGAGCCCGCTGAGGTGGTCGGGTACGGCGTCCGATCAGGACGGTGTAGCCGCCTCCTCCGGGCAGGAACTCCTCGCCTGCTCGTCCCGCGGGGCCCTTCGGCTTCACACCTGCACAAAGGTCGGGTCGGGGTGCTCGGCTCGACCCCTCCGACGATCAAGTTAGCAGATGTGGAGTGGGTTTCAGGAGTAGAAGTGTTTTTGTGTATGTTCCTCCCCCTCTCCTGATGAACGAGAGGGTATTTATAGGGAAGCTTACTGCTTCCTGAGCTGCCCGCTTGCAGGGGGCAGGCTAGTAGCGTCTGATGCTTGGGTTGGCGTGGCGTGAAGAATGAAGCTTGAGCAGGGTGTTTAATGTGCCTCGATCGGCGTTTCGATCTGCATTGACCAGGTGCTGTCACGTCGATCGAGGCGTGAGACGTCATCTGACGTCAGCTGAGTCTTATCGTAATTATTATCCTCATCAATAATTATTATCCTCATCAATAATATTATCCTCATCAATAATTATTATCCTCATCTGACGTCAGGCGTCATCTAACGCGCGTGAGGCGTCATCTGACGTCAGCCGACTCCATAAGGCGAAGATCCATATGGAGTCGACAAGTTCAACTCGTGCGGGCTCGGTCCGAGTCAACCCATTATAGATGAACTTTCTCTGCAATGGAATCAGTAAGATGAACGGAGAGCAGACCGAGTCATCAGAGTCCACCCATCCCATGCATGGGTAATTGGAACGAAGGTACGGCGAAGAGCTGGGCGTTCAACGAAGTGTAATATAAATGGACTGGTCTTTGAACACGTGCATGCAAATGGATGCATCGTTGACTTGGAAGCACGAGGAAGACTATACCAACATCTTTCTATTATTCAAACTTTGCATTTGTGTTTTTTTCAGTAACATCTTGTTCTAGTCATAATGCAAGGCCAGAATTAAATTAGTTTATAGAACTAAATTTATTATTATTAGTAATTTAAATTTAAATAATTTGAATGTGATTTAAAATTATCAAATTAATAAGTCAATTATCCTATCGAATACAAAGGAAACTTATTATAGTAAAAATTGCTTGGTCGACATATCAATGTCACTCGTGTCGACTCTATATGGAGGACACATTAGCTTCATGTAACTAACCAGTGGACCCATGTGGCCAACACAATTATGGGTTTGGTGCGGGTCGAGTACAAAGTTAGATCTAAACTAACCTACAACTCGAACAAAAAAAACTCAAAATGACTCCATATATACTATATTAAAAATAAAATTTTAAGTTATATCATTTATCACAACAAAGAAAGCGACTTTTAGTTTGCTCTATGAAATTGCTTAATATGCAAATCAAATAGAAAAAAAAAGATAAATAAATAACATTGTTAATCTTATAAAACTTAAATTGTTAGGAAAAGATTTAACCAAGAAAAAAAAGATTGCTGTTTCTCTTTTTTACATTTCATAGCATAATTCCAAACATTAATAAAATCTTCACTTTTAGTAGTCAAATTATATGTGCAGCAGTATGTGACCTTGTTGGTGTGCAGAGAGAGAGAGAGAGAGAGAGAGAGAGAGAGAGAGAGAGAGAGAGAG